AAATTATTATACATTGATTGTTTAATAACCTTAACATTAATATCCCTGGGTTATAGAGACCCTTAATCCTAATGTCCCTGTTTTGTAGAGTCCCTTAATCCTAATGTCCCTGTTTTGTAGAGTCCCTTAATCCTTATGTCCCTGTGCTATAGAGAACCTTAATCCTAATGCCCCTGTGTTCTAAAGTCCCTTAATCTTAATGTCCCTTTGTTGTAGAGATCCTTAATCCTAATGTCCCTGTGTTGTAAAGTCCCTTAATCCTAATGTCCCTGTGTTGTAGAGATGTTTAATCCTTATGTCCCTGTGTTGTAGAGATCCTAAATCCTAATGTCCTTGTGTAGTAGAGATTCTTAATCCCAATGTCTCTGTGTTGTAGAGATCCTTAATCCTAATGTCCCTGTGTTGTAGAGACCCTTAATCCTAATGTCCCTGTGTTGTAGAAATCCTTAATTCTTATGTCCTTGTGTTGTAGAGATCCTTAATCCTAATGCCCCTGGGTTATAGAGATCCTTAATCCTAATGTCCCTGTGTTGTAGAAATTATTATTCCTAATGTCCCTGTGTTGTAGAGATCCTTGATCCTTATGTCCCTGTGTTGTAGATACCCTTAATCTTAATGTCCCTGTGTTGTAGACATCCTTAATGCTAATGTCCTTGTGTACTAGAGATCTTTAATTCTTATGTCCATGGGTTTCAAAGATCCTTAATCCTAATGCCCCTGTGTTGTAGAGATCCTTAATCCTAATTTCCCTGTGTTGTAGAGACCCTTAATTCTAATGTCCCTGTGTTGTAGAAATCCTTAATTCTTATGTCCTTGTGTTGTAGAGATCCTTAATCCTAATATCCCTGTGTTGTAGAGATCCTTAATCCTAATGTCTCTTTGTTGTAGAGATCCTATATCCTAATGCCCCTGGGTTATAGATACCCTTAATCCTAATGTCCCTGTGTTGTAGAGATTATCATTCCTAATGTCCCTGTGTTGTAGAGATCCTTAATCCTAATGTCACTGTGTTGTAGACATCCTTAATGCTAATGTCCTTGTGTACTAGAGATCTTTTATTCTTATGTCCATGGGTTGCAAAGATCCTTAATCCTAATGCCCCTGTGTTGTAGAGATCCTTAATCCTAATTTCCCTGTGTTGTAGAGACCCTTAATCCTAATGTCCCTGTGTTGTAGAAATCCTTAATTCTTATGTCCTTGTGTTGTAGAGATCCTTAATCCTAATATCCCTGTGTTGTAGAGATCCTTAATCCTAATGTCTCTTTGTTGTAGAGATCCTATATCCTAATGCCCCTGGGTTATAGAGATCCTTAATCCTAATGTCCCTGTGTTGTAGAGATTATCATTCCTAATGTCCCTGTGTTGTAGAGATCCTTAATCCTAATGTCCCTGTGTTGTAGAAATCCTTAATTCTTATGTCCTTGTGTTGTAGAGATCCTTAATCCTAATATCCCTGTGTTGTAGAGATCCTTAATCCTAATGTCTCTTTGTTGTAGAGATCTTATATCCTAATGCCCCTGGGTTATAGAGATCCTTAATCCTAATGTCCCTGTGTTGTAGAGATCCTTGATCCTTGTGTCCCTGTGTTGTAGAGACCCTTAATCCTAATGTCCCTGTGTTGTAGAGATTAATATTCCTAATGTCCCTGTGTTGTAGAGATCCTTGATCCTTATGTCCCTGTGTTGTAGAGATCCTTAATCCTAATGTCCCTGTGTTGTAGAGATCCTTGATCCTTATGTCCCTGTGTTGTAGAGAGCCTTAATCCTAATGTCCCTGTGTTGTAGTCAGAGCCTTAATCCTAATGTCCCTGTGCTGTAGAGAGCCTTAATCCTAATGTCCCTGTGTTGTAGAGATCCTTAATCCTAATGTCACTGTGTTGTAGACATCCTTAATGCTAATGTCCTTGTGTGTACTAGAGATCTTGAATTCTTATGTCCATGGGTTGCAAAGATCCTTAATCCTAATGCCCCTGGGTTATAGAGATCCTTAATCCTAATGTCCCTGTGTTGTAGAGATTATTATTCCTAATGTCTCCGTGTTGTAGAGATCCTTAATCCTAATTTCCCTGTGTTGTAGAGACCCTTAATCCTAATGGCCCTGTGTTGTAGAAATCCTTAATTCTTATGTCCTTGTGTTTTAGAGAACTCTTATTCTAATGTCCCTGTGTTGTAGACATCCTTAATGCTAATGTCCATGTGTTCTAGAGATCCTTAATCCTAATGTCACTGTGTTGTAGAGATCCTTAATGCTAATGTCCTTGTGTACTAGAGATCTTTAATTCTTATGTCCATGGGTTGCAAAGATCCTTAATCCTAATGTCCCTGTGTTGTAGAGATTATTAATCCTTATGTCCCTGTGTTGTAGAGAGCCTTAATCCTTATGTCCCTGTGTTGTAGAGAGCCTTAATCCTAATGTCTTTGTGTTATAAAGATCCTTAATCCTAATGTCCCTGTGTTGTAGAGATCCTTAATCATAATGTCCCTGGGTTATAAAGATCCTTAATCCTAATGTCCCTGTGTTGTAGAGATTATTATTCCTAATAATGTCCCTGTGTTGTAGAGTCCCTTAATCCTTATGTCCCTGTCAGTGTGTTGTAGAGATCCTTGATCCTTATGTCCCTGTGTTGTAGAGAGCCTGAATCCTAATGTCCCTGTGTTGTAGACATCCTTATTGCTAATGTCCAATTGTCCTTGTGTTCTAGAGATCTTTAATTCTAATGTCCATGGGTTGCAAAGACCATAAAATGAACATTTCTTATCCCTCTTTTCTACAGATTAGATTTGATTTAAATTAATTTTACTACTTCATGTACATCATATTTTTTAAGTCAAAGAAGAAATTCAATGATCTAGCTAGTGTTCAAAAACCTTAATATGCACATTGGACAAAATTGATAGCCAACAATAGATTAACTACATTATCTATGTATTGATGTATCCTTATATGACCTTGTATACCCTGCCTATTCGGTCAGTATAGAGCATTAAGTAATCACACATTTTACATTGATTGTCTTAATGAGCCACTTGAGAGTAAATTCAGGGATCTGTAACATACATTATTAAAGAGAGTATCTATACAGAAAGTGATCTTGTCTTAGAGCTGCTAATTGATTAAGGATAATCTTAAATCCCTGATTATGTTTTTTTTCTCTTAACTTTTCTGTAACATTCAGAACACAAATATTGATAATAGAACAAAATATCTCTGTTTTAATGGTTAAGAAGTAGAAAACAACTTAAATTGATTGCATTTAAATCTGGAAAAAAACAGTCATGCCCCTGCGAAAAGATATTCATGATTTTAAGAACCTTTATGAGTTGTTCATAATTGTTCATGAATGGTTCTTAAAGGATTCTTAACAGGTTCATAAAAGTTGTTCATGAATAAAATTCATGAAAACATTCATAATTCATAGTTCATGAATAAATGATGAACAAATATGAATATTGTTAATTTTTAGTTTAAAGAAAAAAACTTAATAGTTCAAGGTAATGAATGTTCATGAATTTTCATGAAGACTAAAAATGTAAAAATAATTGTCACAAACGATCTCCAGAAAACACTGACTTCACAGACTTTATGCTTATTGTGTGTTATACGGTAATATAATTAATTATTCAGTGTTTGTATTGTTCTGTATACAATTCCTGTATCAAACACAATGTTTCAGATTGTATCCATTATGTCAATATTCTGTATGCTTATGTCTGTCCTTGGCGGCTTTAGTTAATAAGTCTGGCGGACTTTTCTCTCATCACTATTTATTTACAGTATCTTTTGGAGACTAGAATTAATGAGGGGTATTGAGAGAGACCTGATAATTCCAGTCAATACGGAATTCAAAGTATCAATAGCTAGTTATGAACTTGACAAATGGAATTTTTACTCCTAATTAAGATGGGATTATCTGTACTTTTAAGGAGTGCTGGACCAGGAGAGGAGATAGGATTAAAATTGTGAGGGATTTATCTGATGGGACTAGGATTATGCCCTAGGGAGCAGGACTTCTTACATGGATTTGGACTTTTAGTTTGGGATCTGGGTAACTCAGATTTGTTGTTGGATCTGGAATATCGGGAACCAGGATTGCTGATTTTGAGTTAATCTCTGGATTTTACTTATGATGAATTAATTAATAAATGAATATAGGAAAAGGATTTTTATATGCATTCAGAAAAATAGGTCTGACTTAGAACTGGAAGTGGTTAATTTCAGTTGGGATCTAGATTTCTAGTGAGGAATAGGGAATATTTCATTTGAAGACTCATTGTAGGTGTTTAATGCAATAAGGAAAGTGATTTCTGATTTGGGAATACTGAGTTCGCTGGGGAGGAGGGAGGATTTCACATTGATACATCACATATTGACAACCAATACATAGCGGAGTCCCATCTCAGTATAAAAACCGTAGAGAAGGAGCTAGCATGCATGAATTGGATGTCAATCTCTAGTCATTGATACCAGTTGATACTGAGAGTTATATGAAGACCATACAAGTTCAAGATAGTTATTAAGCTTTAGTATGTTTGATTGGTTTTTGGAGAGATGTAGGATATGTGAGCATTTAGTTTTGTCGTTTTGTGAAAGTTTGCATTTAGATTGGGAGACCAAATTTAATATTCTCAGAGGAAACTTACTTAGTGAGAATTTTTGTGAAAAAACATATCAATAATTGATCGGATCCATGTGTCATAGAACTGCAGAATAGGAACTATTTCAGTAAATGTCCAATTGGTTAACAGAAGTAGGACCTCCACTGACATGCTTTGATCTTGGAGTATTAGCAGTTGAATTTGATACCCTGGGGTTTATTTTTAAAAACAAATGCAATCAATAATTTATGAGTTGAGTGATTGCCCCATGGTTAATAAAGATAGACTGCTTTGTGAGGATGTAGTCTACTGGGACACTTCTGTTTCTCACAGAGTCAACAGATTGTCAATATTCGAAACATCGGAACACTAACGTTCAGGGAGGTCTAAGTAACGTTCTAAGGTCATACTAAGTTACACTCCGAGGTCGGATTAAGTTACGTTCCGAGGTTGGATTAAGTGTGCATTAATGAGTGTGCTGGAATGGACACAGGAGAAACTCGATGATTTGGAGAGTTTTGCTCAGACTTTGTTTCAGGACATGGGGAATATATTAGACCTCAGTCTCCTAAAGGAGGACTCTATAGATAAACAGGTATATATCACCTCATTGATCTTAGACCTCTAGTTCAAGAGTTCATCAACAGAGTTGATTAATTTTTCAGCAGGCTAAAAAAGTAATTAGAATATTTTCTTTCTGATCCATTAGTACTTATGTAAAGGGATGTAGCCTGTTGGTCATTTCAAGTACTTAGATTCTGTCAGTAATACTACTGATGATTGTAGTTGTTGACAGATTCTGGTTTTAGGATATGTTTTAGAGTAAATTTACTTTTTGTATCAATATTTACACATTGTTTAAACACACACAGGGTGATAATTCATGGCATTGTCAACTCAAGACTGAGCTTATCATTGGTCACTGATGTAAGGGAATATAATATGATGGTTTCCTTGGATATGAAATTATTTTACCATATAGTCTGACTGTTGTTTCAATGATTTTTAAGCCACTTAAAACTAAAACGGGTGTAAGGATCCTTTTATACACAGCTGCCTTTGATCCTTCTCCAAAGTTGAACAGACTCTTTGTCATTCTTCATTTTTGAACATATTTCAATGTCTGAGTGATTTAAGAAATGAATTTAATTTTTGAAGATTCATGAGGTTATGAACTACGATGCTTCACGCCGGCATATTTCATGAAGTGCGTTAGCGCTTCATGAAAAATATGCTGGAGTAATGAATCATGAATTCATTATGAATCTTCAAAAATTCACTTCTTATATTTACAGTATTTTTCTGATGACTTGACATACATTAAGGCCATTTGACTGTCATTTTTATAGCAAAATAGTGTGCATTTTATTTTTTGACGTCAAGTGCGGTATTATGACGTAAAAATGGAGATATTCATCTTATTCGTGGTACATATGTGATGTAGTTCATGAAAAAATGAACTGCATTTTATCTTGTAAAGAATTATAGGGGAAATCTATTGGAAATGTAAATATATCCTTTTATAATTTACTGTAAACCAACTTTTATTCACGTGCGAGAAATTTTCGCGAAGTTCGCGACATCTTCGTCATCGCGAATATTTCTCGCCGCGAACCAGTCCTTAAAATCTCTGTGTCTTTTAACAACAGGTAAAAATAGATTTGATCGCGAAAATTAATCGTCGTGGACTAGTTTAACCTCAGTAAAACGCGAAATAAAGTCGTCGCGAATAAAAGTTGGTTTACAGTAATTTTGTTTGTATTCTTGCCTCTCATTGGTTGAATTCCAAAAAGGAACGCAAAACATTTTGTATAATCTGGTTTGGTATGGGGACACACCCCCTTGACGACCAGCTTAGTCATCTTATCCATGCAATCCCCTCATTTCCAGTCCTCGGAATCCATGGAAAATTCCAAATTTAATAAATGTACCTTCAACTTTAAAAAATTACTCGTTCTTACCTCATGTAAACAAACATCATGGCTGCTAGATCTTTGTATCAGTTATTACTTCCCCTCGCTTCAAATCACTTGAATCGGTTGTATTATTGCGCGGTAAATTTGAACTTATAAAAAGCAACACAATTTTACATCAAAAGTTGTTTAATTGTTTTAAAATTAAATTATAAGGAATGACTTAAATTCTTGGCCATATTATTGAGTATAATCTGGTTTGGGTCAGTTTACGCTTTTTTATAATCCGCTTTGCGGATTATAAAGCGTAAACTGACCCAAACCAGATTATACTCGATAATATGGCCAAGAATTAGAGTCGTTCCTTAAATAGATTAAAATATGTGCATTTCTTTTACAAATTAACAAGTTCACAAGCTGAATTTCTTTGATCCAAATTTTTTTCACATTATGTCTTTTTCTCCATTGAGAAATTGTTGACATAGGCCTTAATTAAAGGTCTAATTGACGTACAAGTATTCCTGTGATTTAATTGTTGTTTGTTTGTCTGCAGGTGGACAATGTAAAGATGGTGGAGAGGTTTCGGACCCGGAACCCCGTGGTGGGGACCCTCTACCTGACCACCACTCACCTGATCTTTGTGGACAGTGCCGGGAAGAGGGAGACCTGGGTGAGTACAGGGTGGGGGGATAGAGGGGGGGGGGGGTTAAAGCTCTCAGGTGATTACACCACCACTCACCTAATCTTTGTGGACAGTGCTGGAAAGAGGGAGACATGGGTAAGTAAAGGGCCACAAGGATTGAAGGGAGGTAAAGGTCACAGGGATAGAGGGGAAGGGGATAGAGAAGACTGGGGTAAGGGCACATCTAATCTTTATAATCTTTGTGGACAGTGCGGGGAAGAGGGAGACCTGGATAAGTTAAGGGCGTCAGGGATAGAGGAAAGGGGGGCTGGGTGGAGGAGAGGGTGTAAGGTTCTCTGGGTGATCTCTGCAGCACCACATTTATCTAATCTTCATAATCTCAAATGGAAGTGCCGGACACATGAAACCAGAATTTTTAGATCCTATATACAAACTCACAAACCTGAAACCTTAGCCTTAGTGCCAATATTGGTACACCTGAATCCTTAGCTTTCGTGCCTATATTTTTCCACCTGAAATCTATACTGTTTTTCCTGAAAGTCATTAGCTTTATGCCCTCCACTTAATTACAATAGCGATAAAACAACCAGCGTAACACATAACCAATTGGTGCAAAAATTTTTACTAATATTCAGCATTCAACAAATGATTTAAACCAATAACTCATCAATTACAGTGTTATGTAAGAGATAAATCATACTGATATAGACTGGGTCAATTTCCTAAATGAGAAGCTCTTATTTTGCATTTCTCATAAAAAAATTATAGAAATAAAGTGACTGTAAAGAATATGCTGAACATATTGTCTGGTAATTTATCAATCAACACACATGGTGGTCTTTTATTCCAAAATGATTACAGTTTCTTTTCCCATTTTAGAGCTTTACTGTTTCATTTATACAGCTCTGACTAGCCTTTTTAAGGTTTTTGAGTTCAGAGAGTTTTTCTGGTTTAATTTGATAGAATTTTCATGGTAAATTAATTTTTCTTCTGGATGATTTGTGAAAATATATTTTTAAAAAGTGCTGGATTGATCTGTGAGGAATTTGCCAACTTCAAAGGCTAGAAGTTCAATACAAGCAATAGGATCCATGACCGGGGTTTTGATTTATCAGAATCTCAGGCCATAATCCGTAAACAGAGATTGGCTATTACACAGTTGACTTTCTCTTCATGCTTAAAAAAGATGGCTAGTGTATACGATGCTGGGTTTGAATGATTCATTCAATTAGTGCCCATCTTTATGTTCAAAGAGGGGTGTACAGGAGAGAAAATTGATTATACTGTAAAAGTTTGGCATCTGGAAATGAGCAGGACTCTTATGCAATTGGAATGTATAATTTGGATTGAGATGATCTGCAAGATTTCATTACAAGTTAAAGAAACACAGTTAAATAAAAGTGGAATAGAATTTGTTTCCGGGTTTATTTTTGTAAATTTTGTGTAGCAGAAAAAATTACCTCTCAACAGGGGATGCTTTCTCTCCCATGGCATCTGATCCGACCTTTGATGTTTTTAGAGGTGTGTTTGCTCTACTTCCGATTTGTATTGTTTCAGTGGAGGCATGTCATCAGCTCAATTACCCTGTACTTTTTACTATTTCGATTTTTTATTAAAGGAACTTAAAAACAAAAAATTGTAAATTGTGATATTTCCGAATCAGCTGATTACTATTATAAAACTATCACACAGTCTGTACATAGGATAGACAATTCTGATTTTGACTACTTGTGATTGCTGGTGATCTCCTGTGTTTTAACCTTACAGCCTACAAGGAAGCCGAGATCTTAAATCAATAGAACTGTGGGTTAGTGAAATCAATACAGATATTTGGTAACATTCTACAAGAGTAATGATGATCAGGCTAAAGCCAATGGATTGGACCCCTTCCAAATGAGTCACCTTTGCCAGGGTGTATTTTCCTAAGTAGGCTATATGCTCTGAGTGATTGCTACTTTAGATGTTTAGAGGCCTGAGTAGAAAATGACAAGATTATATTTCTGAAACTTATATCAGTTGCTGACATTATACATTTATTGACTGAGTTCGAGGGCAACATGCATTTTGTCGGACCCAAGAACCAAACTGTCTGCCTGAGGCCGTTAGGCCTTAACGGCTTCAGGCAGACAGTTAGGTTCGAGGGTCAGACAAAACACATTTTGCCCGAGAACTCCATCAATAAATGTTTTGTTATACCTTTCATTTTATTTTTTTCTACATGTATTTTAAACTGTATTCCGTGATGTAACCTCAGATTCGACACTGTTAAACACCAACGAATGAAAATGACATTAAGCTCCACCCATCCTGTGTCGGTAAGCGAACCAACATCTCATCGACCGGTCCAACATCTCACTCAGTGGCAGACTTATTATATCAATGGTTGACTTGTATCAGTGGCAGGCTTATTATATCAATGGTCGACTTGTGTCAGTGGCAGACTTATTGTATCAATGGTTGACTTGTATCAGTGGCAGACTTATTGTATCAATGGTTGACTTGTGTCAGTGGCAGACTTATTGTATCAATGGTTGACTTGTATCATTGACTGACTTGTGAGCTACTTATACTGTTACAGTGGTACACCTTTATTAGTGGCAGCTGTTTAAAGGGACGTGGACACAGTTTTGGTCAAATTTTATTTATCCACTTTTATTGTTTAAAATACGTGACTTCAGTATTTTTTAATGGCCAGCCAAAATTTCAATTTGAGGTGTCAAGTCATAAGCAAATATTTGTTATGTAAACAAAGTTGGTGCCATTGTTTTTATGTACATTGATTATACCAGTGAAAGTTCTTTTTCAAGCAGATGATTAACTATCTGCAAGTTTATTTTAAACACCTATTGTAACCAAATTAAAATTGGCATTTTTCTACTCAGTATTCGACCTGATGTATGAAAAATAACATAATGGTCTGTGGTCCCAAGACAAAAAACTGAAAACAGGCTAACAGTTAAAAAATACATCCATTTGTTCACTGTTCACCGACTTACACATTTATTAGCTAACTAAGGCAGCAAGTTTAGAACTCATCCGAGACTCAGTACCAGAAGTTCAAACAAATAAACCATGGGTACCCCATTTATTGATTTCTCTGTAGACCCTCTTTAATCATGATATTAGCTTTCCTATTAATAAAAAGCCATCTTTAGTACTTGGCACTTTATGATGCTTTTCTCATTAGAAAATAAAGCTATATCAGTGTTTCTTGGCCACAGAAGCAATCTTTCCTGTATCAGATTTTCATGTTGTGTTTGCTTGATTAATTTTACTCTTCCATCAGGCAAACATATTTCTCGTCTTATTGCCGACAAAGCCATGGATGGGGCTGTAGATCTGCTATTACCATAGGAATCACTAGGGGATGTCATGGCTTATCTGGAATATGCTGGATAATAATCTTGTCTTTTAGAATATTTCTCTTAAAAGTTGCTTTTTGTTGTTTCCCAAATTGATTCTTTCATTATACTGAGGGTTCTATTGATTATGTTTTACTGTACTATAACCCTGAAGAAAGTGCATTCAGCAATATTTATATTGAATGTAGAGTGGCAGAATAGAGGCATTTTAAAGTATCTGCAAATTGAATGCAGAGTTAGAGAAAAAATATAGGGAAAGAAGTCCAAAGTCTACTTTGCAGAACTGCAAAAATATTGAGATAAAAAAGATATACTAGTAATAGGAAAAAAAATCTCAGTGCCCTATGGATCTAAGACTGAGGCTGTAATATAAATTAAAGATTGGAAGCTTACCTCTGCCATGTGTATAGAACTGCAAGGCTACCAATGATCAAACCTTGAAATGCAAGCATTGATTCAAATTTTGTTTCAGAGATGACAAGAGAATAGGACAGAAACAGTTTAATGCTATAGAACTTCAATTTTTTCATAGAAATATTTTGTAAATTCTTTTTGCTTTTTGTCAGTGAATTAGGTCAAGTCAAGGTCACAGAGATTCAAGTTTGTTGTCATGACTCTTTGAGTCAAGGTCATAAGATTCAGTTTTATACCAGCACTAAATTTTGTAAGGCCAATCCAACAACTAGTGCTAATTGTAACGGGGACCGTTACAGATGTTCCCCAAACGCTCCCCAACTCCCTTTTGGTGCCATATTCCCTGTAATCTCTATTAAATAAGAAATACTTAATGGAATTTAAACTTAATCAAGGTCTTCCCAGAAGAATACAAAATATATTTAAATTTAAGCATTGTACGCGTGTTCATGTGCGTAACGGCCATATTATCTTGTCTACACTATCTATATATTTTAATATACTTGATATCAAAGATGTTATCCAAAAGTATTAAAAAATACTCTCATTCGAGTGTATTTTTAATTTTACTCATTTCACGTGCACGCACGTGCAAGCAAGTGCATGATGAATACACCTTCTTGTAGGAGTCCCTTATATTTATCTATGTTCTAAATCCCATCCTGTTTGCTTAAAAAACAAGGGAGTTATAGCCATTTGAAGTTTCAGCCAATCAGATTGCAGCACACATGCATGCGCGTGCTTTCATGAATTTTTTATCTTAATCGTATTGAAGGATATCTTAATGAATGACTATATTTAAAATTCCAAACATTTCGTCAAAAAACAAAATAAATATAGCCATTTAAAGTTTCAGCCAATCAAATTGCAGCACACATGCATGCGCATGATTTCATGATTTTCTTTCTATATCGTATTGTAGGATATCCTACTGCATGACTATGTTTTAAATTTCAAAGCATTTCGTCAAAAAACAAAGGAGATATAGCCATTTAAAGTTTCAGCCAATCAGATTGCAGCATGCACGCATGCGCATACTTTCATGAAAATTTTATATATCATGCTGTAGATCTTCATAATTTAAGACTTTGTTCAAAATTTCAAAAGATTATGACAAGAAACATGAAAAATATTGAGACTTTAGTTTCAGCCAATCAGAGCGAAGCGCACGTGCATGCGCGTGAGATCTTGCTATTTTGACCATGTCATCATGTCTATACTACTAATATATCCTTATATTATGAGTTTCAA